AGATAATGTGAATATAACAAAGATCAATACATCAAAACCGCTGTAGCAAATAAAATAAAATAATAATAAAATAATTCCATATTGTAGGACACTTGACACATGAACATGCAGCGAAATAAGCAGGCCATTTATACATGTACATGTAGTAAATAAATTGATTGCTGGACTTACAGAACCGCCTTTCTGATTAATTTTTTCAGTAGGTAAGGTACGGCCTTGAAACTTTATTAAAGACTTTTCAAACTCAAGATTCCAACCACCAAGTATAGACTTGACATCAGGATTACTAGAGGATAAGTAAGAAAAGGAGAAAGGCACAAAATTAGAGCAGGAAATAAATAAGGTGCTCATGCAACAAAATCATGGGATACAATTACAGCTACTAGCACACAAGTAATGGATATAGCACTAAAGTATTTGTATATGCATTGGATATCTTGTATCTTTCACCCAGACTTTGTTTTATTTTTTTCTGCCTCTCTCTCTCTCTCTCTCTCCCCTTGACTTACGTGTTGACATCATTAATGAATTTGTTGAGGGTGTCGATCCTCTGCGGCGGAGCCTGTCTTGTATAGGTAGCGACATCCCTCATGATTTTGAAGTTAGCACGTGCTTCTTCAGTCAAACCTGCAGACAACAAGATATATTACAATAAAAATACCAACAATATTAACAATTAACAAGTAGAAAATTTGATTGGAGTGCAAAATAAACACACATACTCACACAGGAGGCATAAAACACATTACAGTGGTCCAATACAATCACTATTAATTTAATATCAACAGAGGACATAGCTTTGTATACCCTTACTATTACATTTTCATGCAAAGAGAAATGTCTAAGAATTAATGCTTTGATCTACATGCATCAAAAATCATAAATAGCCAGAAACTAAATTAGCAAATATAGTCATTTCTATGATAGAGGATACCACCTGTAGCAACATGAACAAGATCAAGATAATTATACCGATATGTACATGTACACTTTGTACATTAGCATCAAAAAAATGTAACAAAAAATCAATGACTATTAAAACAGGGTCAACATATAAACTAGGTGTTCACAAAGAAAGCAGACATGTGTACATGTAAAGCCTGTGTACATATTGAGAGAGATCTTCAGAGCAGCAGATATCTGTACACCAGGCTGTAGCAAAAAAAGCAGCACCTGCCATAAAACAATCACTACAAGAAACTGCTGCTGAAGCCTCCTATCAAGGCACCATATAATGGCAACCACAACTCCCTACAACAAGATAAGACCCACCTTACCAATAATGTACTACACAATATAATGAATGAATTGACTACACTACTAAAATCAGGCAATTCACACCAATAATTATAAGTTACAAAATGCTCTGTTTACTTTAACTTATTAAATACAAGACATGTACTCTCTCTCTCACACACACTATATATATGTTTCATGAAGGTATTAACAAACAGTAATTAACCTACCTGTCATTGTACACAACTCTGGTATTAAAAGCAGTGGGCCAAGGGTAGCTGGATCACGTCCTCTACGACGAGCCTCCATTTCATCCTATAAGAGAAGAGGGCAAGAGAGGACTAAGAAAATCAAAGCAATAATTATAAACATGTAGTTGCCTTTTTGCGTGGACGACTAATAAGCAAGGGCTGATTTTCATCTCTGATTTTAAGGTCATAAGCCTGAGAGAGAGAGAGAGAGATTAAAAAAGACATCATAACACATATTGTACCTTTTTGTAATAAGTAATGAATGATATTTCCTCTCCAGTTGATGTCTTGAAGGTGCTAGCTGGAGTCTTCTCCCAGTCAATATCATCAACACGATAGGTACGATTATTATACCTACAGATGAATAATATTAAAATCAAAGGAACACAAAATCAGCAAATTTTAAATGACATATATACATGTACATGTAGAACTGCAGATTACAATCAGGCTTGGGGTCAATTACAATTATAATTGCAATTACAGCGTCAATTACAATTACAGTGCATAATTGTAATTGGGTTATACATATTGTAAGTGCGTAATTGTGACTGTAATTGTGCCTACAATCTTACTTTGATATTCTACCTATATTAGTCCTCTAGAGTAAATTTTCAGCATCGTAAGCCTGATTAATGTTCACTGATTAACAAAACTTTTTAAAACTCAATGCAATGTGGTAAAAAAATCATTGTTATTTATGTCATGATACGAGTAAAATTAAGATCATTGTAATTAGTGCTGTAACTGCAAGCTATTGCCATTGTAATTGTACTGGTTTTAGTTGCTTTGGTAGTAATTGTAATTGTAATTGAAATGAAATTTTGTAATTGATCCCAAGCCTGAATTTACAATGTTTTACACCGTAGGCTATTTCCGAAAAATACTGTCCACCATTCTATTGTAATGCATGTATGAATGTAGGTGTATGCCTAACCTTGTAAGAACAATCTCTCCAACAATACTCTTTGTTGCTTCAGTATGAAAATCACGAGTACTTTTCAAGGAATGAAACAGATCCAGGACAGTGTCGGTACGAAGGATCTTGTGTGATATGTCGGCACAAAGCATCACATTGGACTCATACTGAGCAATAGAGGTGATAAAACCAGGCCAAATCTCTAGGCTGAAAAATACAAGAAAATTATTACACAGAATGTGACAAAAACTACAGTAGTAAAGTGACTAGAGGACAAACCTGTGTTCCCTGATGATATTTGGAATCTTTGGGTTATAATAATGACGACCAATCTGTTTCATTTCCAGCTTAGCAAGAATCCTACCAAATACAATCATAATAATGAGGTCTGAAGAACAAAGGTGCTAAATGGAAAGCTACTAACACATTAAGATGTAAATTACTTTCTTAAGAAGATATCAAGTTACCAAGCCTTAATACCACTATGACCAACCAATTAATGACATTACAGGTAGATGGTAATTTAATGCTTCTGTGGTTATAAGAAACAACATGGAGTCACTCACTTTCTAAAGAGAATATTAAAGAGCTGGAGGCAGACTGGGCTGTTAGCGGACAACTCGTTTGTCAGCTTGATAGTAATGTGAATAGTGTCCCCTTCTTTAGTCTTGGAAATAACTTCTTCAGGATTATTGTGGAGACGGTGCGGCAAGTAAAGGACCATCCCATCAAAAGAGTGGACTTTGCCAATAAGAGCCTCTTCGTGGTGATAGAGTAAAGCCAATCGCATCCTTTTATTCTCAACTGGTGGATTGTAGGAGACATTATACTGGTAAATGGCATGGCCAGGCCTGTTACGAAGAACAAGGTAG